TGCACCTGTCGCACCTGTCAGCGGTGAGAGCGCTCGCGGTGACTGATGTCTGGTTGGATCCATCAGCTGTGTTACAGCCTTTACAGCCTGCAGTGTTGAGTTCGAGTGGACGTGTGTTATTGCTGGGTGCTGGATAAATGAAAGCCCCCACACCGACCCAGAACGAGAGTGCGATGCCCACGATCAGACCCCCAGCTGCCCCCTAAAGAGAAAACCACAAATCACAGAGGATGTGAACTATATTAACATCAGCTGTTTTTTCTTTTTTTTTTTTGTCTGATCTTGAATATAATACACACTATAGTCCACATGCAAAGTTTTATATTGGTATTCATAATGGTGACATTATTTATACCCTTATATTTTAATATTTTCATGTTTTCTAAAGGGAATCCTTCAGGTAATTAGAAAAAAACATCGTCCATCTGCCATCAGTGGTTCAATCTGAATTTTATGAAGCGACGAGAATACTTTTTGTACGCAACGAAAACAAAAATAACGACATTATTCAACAATTCGTCTCCTCTGAAGAGGACAATTCGTCACCGTAGCGCCATTTTGGAGAGTATCCATTGAACGTAAACTGCGTATGCTGTTCTACTTGTCTGAGTCAGCCGTACCACACTGAACGAAAACAGCGCATCCGTGTGGTGCGGCTGACACAGAACAGCATACACAGTTCGTGTTCAGTGGATACTCTCCAAAATTGCGCTATGGTGACGCGGAGGAGACGAATTGTTGAATAAAGTCGTTATTTTTGTTTTCGTTGTGTACAAAAAGTATTCTCGTCGCTTCATAAAATTCAGATTGAACCACTGATGGCAGATGGACTATTTTGACGATGTCTTTCATACTTTTCTGGACCTCGACAGTGTATTTTACTTGGCAGTCAATGGGACAGTCACAAGCCTCCCGATTTTCATCCAAAATATCTTAAATTGTGTTCCGAAGACGAACTAAGCTTTTACGTGTTTGGAACGACATGGGGGTAAGTGATTAATGACAAATTTTTTTGATTTTGGGGTGGAGTAACCCGTTAAGGAGAACTGGTCTTATCATTCTTTGCTGGGCAAAGTGCTAAGTGTTTGACTTCTACAGTTTCTAGACCAACTTTATACAGTTCACTTTGCCTTTGGTTTTGGTTTGGTTCACTCCGCCTTTTGTTTGACCTACTTCTGCCTGTTAAAAGCATCAGACCCTTCCTAGAAAAATCAGGAGACCCGATGATCTGATGCGCTTTCATTTCTGCCCATATAGACTGGCAGAATGAACAGACTTTTTCATCTCGCAGTGACTCATAATAATGTGCTGATCCGCCAAGACAAATCTCTTGGTGATTAAATCTGCTCTCATGCCATATGACAGAATCAATATTCGGATTATGAGCGTATCCTCTTTTAATGTCTTGAACACACTGGGTGTATTTACACAGAGCTTTGCTGATCCAGTTGGCCGCTCGGTTGGACAGATCTCTAAAACACTGGCTCACAAAGTCCTCATACGTCACCGTGGCCAAAGCATTGATACTGGCAGCTACCGTGCTGAAAAACAGAAACAGAACATGATGTCTCCTTTTATAGCTCAGATGTTTTGCTCAGATAAACATACGTGAAAACCCATTTAAAAGAAGGTCGTCCAAAAATGAAAGTTATGTCATTATTTACTGTCTAACAATCCTGGAAATTTCGTTGAATTCCAGAAATGAATAATACAGCCTTTGACTGTCTTCTGAAATCTGTTTAACCCTCATGTTGTGTTCCAGTTCTTTTCCCTAAAAATGCTCGTTAAAGTTATCAAATTGGACTAAATCGTAGTGATTTTGCTCACACAAGGTATAACAACTTCCTAAAAAAATTGGGGGGATTTTTCCCCTTCTCACGTTGTTGCACTTGTGGTGTTCCCAGTCAAAAATGACTGGCCTACAAAACATTTCTTGTGAGTTTCTCATTATGCTATACCATTACAACATGTTGGATTCAATCTTTTTGCCAACTTGTTTTCATCATCAATTAGAACAAGTTTCTTTTTGGAACGGATTGGTCGCTCAAAAACGGAGGTGCATTAGCTCAACTCAATGAGGCCTGCGATCAATCACTTAGAAAAAGAAATGCAAAACCTGAAAACAAGTTAACTGAAAAATTGAACGATTCCAAGATTTGGTGATAATATAGCATAATCATAGATTTACGAGCAGTTTTTAAAAGGCTGGTCATTTTTGACCAGGAACACCAAATTAGGTTAATTAAAATAACACGAGTCCCAATTACCAGTGGTATACTGTATATCTAAATCTAAATTCTAAAATAATCTTCATAATTAAACATTGTATTCAGGGTCTACGTAAATTTAAGTAAATTCATTTTAAATTTAAATTAAACTCCATTACAACATTTAGTTTATACTATCACATATACAGTAGTATTGTGAACTTTGATGTATAAATTGAAAATGAACTTTACCTCAGCGTTCCACTGAACGCGCATGCGACAAATAAGCCTGGCAGTCCTGGAAACGCACCGAGAATTTCCATCACAAAATATGGCATGAGCTGAGATAAAAATGGATACACTAATGTTAGGCGTGTGAGCAACAGTAATAGCAATGCTTACCTAATAGCAAAGCACCACTAATAATACTGATAAAAAATTACTCTGAACCGCTGACAGAGACATGAGGATGTTTCGATGTTAGATTCCAATTACAATATCATAGAGATTATTTCAAAAAGATGTATGGCGATCATCACCTGGTCAGGAGCAGAGACCGATCCAGCCGACCAGGGGTCACAGCGCGAGTAGAAAGTGTACATGATCAGACCAGATACCACAGCACAGAACAGAATGATCCACAGACCCAGCAGATTCAGATACAGAGCCCTGAGACACAAGAAAGAAACTTTGGGAAGGAAAAAGTTTTTTTTTATTTTTTTTTTTTACAAACATTCTGAAACCAGTATCCTGAAACCTGTTGACTGCCATTTTATTGGAGCTTAAAATAAAACTGGTAACACTTTACTTAAAGCCTTTATGTATAATGCATTATAAAAGTAGTTTTAATTCATTAATTATGCCTTGTAATGCACTGGACGATCTCATGAATAAGTGTAGCCACAGTTACATTATAACACTTATCAATTCATTGTGACACTATGCATTTTAAATTTGGTTATATTTATTTACATCAAGATATAATGTATTACAATGCACATTATGAATAATTATAACACATTATATCCTTTAATAACCCTTTATAATTGATTATACATAGAGGCCTTAAGTAAAGTGTTACCATAAAACTTTGAACTTTTGTACTTGGAAGGCATAAATTATATTTTAAGATAAACAACATTCAGGTGCACTTATGCATTTGAAAGATACAAAGAGACACATTGCATTTAAGGTATATATTTTTCAGTTCATACATTTCATTTCTTGACACATATTATGTATAATTTACGTTACAAGAACACACGTGCAAAATTTCAAAAATGAAAATACAACAAATAATTCATTTTATAAGGTATTGCAACTGCTCAAGTACTCACTGTTAATGATGAAATGCAAAATGGGCAGATAATTGCATTTGTATAAACACATACATGTTTTTTATTTTAATTAGTAATAATGTAATTAGTTTCTGGTCAACATGCGTTAACAGGGATCATTAAATGTAATGAGTGCTCACCAGCGTGCATGACCTTCTGTTTTGCAAGAGATGCATCTCTGGATGGTTGACTGGTTTACTCCGTAGATGCCCAACCAGGTGAAGGTGCCGCCCACAGTGAGTGTCCAGAACGTGTGTCGCCTCAGTGGATTAATGTCAAAGCTGGAAACAATGGTGCACAAATGTACGACACTGTAAAAAATGACAGTGAATTTAACGGTAAAAGACTGTAAAAATGCTACAGTAAAAACCTGTTAAATGGTTAACGGTAAATTCCCCTACTATATACGGTGAAAAACTGTATTGGACATTACATGTAATTTTACGGTAGTATACTGTTTTTGGAAGTGAAAAAGACTGTATAATTTACAGTGAATAACCGTAAATTGACATTCCCAGAATTCCCTGCATTACGTTTCAAATTTGATTTTTTTTTTTTTATTGAAATAATTATGTTTCTTCTTAGATTTTTCTTATCAGTTTTGTATTTTAGGGTTATATGTTACACCTAATGTTGTTAAATGAATGTTTATTGCATTATTTCAGTTTCATGTGTGTTACCATGATGGTGTTTAGTGTTTGTGTGAATGACACTGTGCACCTTCTATATATGTTATTATTTAAAAGCTGCTTGTGATGGGCTTTGGTTCATCATGTGACTTTCTCATCACCACCTCTTTTGGTGGTTATCAGCGTATTACAAAAGGTACAAAACAGATTTAAGTACTTCAATAGGTTGGTATATTAACATTATTTCAGTTCATGAAATTACGGTATTTAACTGTAAATTTAAGTTAAAACCGTAAAACCTGAAATGCTACCGTATTTTTTTACGGTAAAATTCCGACAACCACAGCTGTTTTTTTACCGTAAATGTTACGGATTTTTTTTTACTGTGTCGCAAAGTGTCAATGTTCACATTTCTTCACTGATGTTAGCAAACATTGTATAAATCAATATTTATTCTAATAAAATAGGTGTGCTTTCATTTTTGTTACGTAAGGCATGAGTAGATTAAGTGTAGGTCTGCACACACATACTCAAAGACGTCCATTCTGCCTCCAGTGTGAGCTGTGCTCCAGACAGACTCAATCCCTCCCGCTCGACTCGCACCCTGGATCAGCACCGTGAGAAACCCCACCACCATCACCACCATCTGGAAGGCATCTGTCCAGACCACAGCCTTCAGCCCACCCTAAACACACACACACACACTGGCACTGTTTCTCCTGTTTCTGTCTGAGCAGAACGGCCCATTCACAAAACTTTAAACATTTTGCTCTGAATTACATATACAGTAATATTTCAACAGTTCATTCACACAGTTTGTGTTTTCTCATGAAACGCATAATAACTTTCTAGATGGAACAATATCAAAATTACTAATTGTTTCCCAAATTTGTCTTAAAAGTAGTTGATTCATCTGACACTCCAGGAATGCCTAAATTACGATGTTTTATGTTTTTGCTATTTTTATTTAAACAGGATATTGGAATGATTACTTTTCCAATTTTTAATTTACTGTTTATATATAATTATATATAGACAATATAATCACTTGGGAAGAGAAAGTTATCCTTAATCTATTGTTTTGACCACATCCAAGCCACACAGTTTAACTTGAGAAAAAAAAAATAACGTTTTTTTTAATGACGAAACAAGATGTTAATAAGCATATTGATTAAATGTAGCATTCACATTTTTAAACAACATACGTATTCAATAATGTGTTATTGATGCATTTTAGGATTAAACAGAAGTGTCCTAACAGAAACCATAATTACAATCAATCATAACTAATCATAAATAATCTTTTTTTTTATCATAATCATAATTACACTTACAGTAAGTGTGAAATCAGTAGGGGTGTCCCCGACTAAGGATTTTCATAGTCGAATTGGAATTTTTGAATCTTGCTGATAGTCGACTGATAGTCGAATCACATGTTTGGGGGCGGGGCAAAATACATTACCAAGAGTCAAGTCAGACATTCGAAAGTCATACGTTAACACACAGGGAAAATGTGTAACGGATGCCTCGCAGACACAAAAATTATGTGTTATGTTTTGATTAAAAGACATAGTTAACATTAACATCAGTGAACATTTTTTACAATAGTGCTCTCATTATAACGTTGACAGTAGTTATTAATGTTCTGCATTTCTGTTTTGAGCTGCGCACTGAAGATGATCAGTAGAGTGAAGCATTTGATAGCAGGTTTTTAATCAATGGGATTAAACTCATCATTTATCTCATATAGAATATGCTTTGTTATTTATACAACATAACGTTAATATTAGAACTTATCTGCACAAAATGCCCCGAATGCACATGAACGTGCTTTTGTGGACGTGTTCTTCACGCAACAACGTGCAGAAACACGGCAACTAAATTCTAAAAATTCACAGTGTTTTATTATAATACTGTTCTCATTATAATGTTTTGCATATGACAGTCCCAGTCATAATTATTAATATTCTGCATTTTTTGTCCTGCTCGCGCTACGCGCTGAAGAGATAATCATTGTATAGTACTACAATAAAGTGTTCTATGTGAAATCAGACATTTGAGAACCCCCATATAGCCAAAATGGCACGATCATAACACCTCTGCGAATATTCGACTGTGAGATTGGTATTCGAATCAGGCTCCTCCTATTGAAGCATCGAATCTTCGAATATTCGGGGTCACCCCTAGAAATCAGTTCAGATCTGAATTCAGCATCACTTACCAATGTACAGTAAAAAGTGCAGACAATGCCAGTGGCAAATATGGATCCCCAAAGATCGAATCCTGTCACTGATGACAAAAAAAAATACAGATCTGTGTTTATGTAATTGATATTCTGCGTGAATGACTCTTATATTTAGATCTGACTTTAATCTAAGTCACAGTAACAATAAACACAGTCTAATTTAACAAACAAAATACAGTTTATACAGTTTATATTAGTTGAATCATGGGAGTAAACTCAACAGAGACAGTAGGTCAGTTTTTGTTGATGCTGCATGAATAAATGTAATTTAATCATTTCACGCTATTTGATTCCTTTATCGGCTGTGAACATTATTCTCTTGTGCGGTTCACATGACAATTGTTATTCGTGTAGAACACGTGAGTGACCTTCAGTGTGTAAAGGGCATCATAAACGGGCATCTGTCTAGATAGGCAGCACACAGGGTTAGAAGCTACTACTCCAAAAGAAGCACACTTTAGCATACGTATACAGAAATAATACCCTTTAAAATAATATATTTTGGTGTGAACTTAATGACATGTTTTCGGGTGCTTAATTCAATGTTAATTGCAATTAAATTAAAATATTTTAGTATAAGAGATTAAATTGATATTGAATGCAGTGATGGGAACTTTCGAGTGCTTTTTGACCCACTTAAGTGGCACTTAAGAATCTTTATGTGTAATTTCAGAATAACTTCTAATGCCTAAAACATACTTTAAAAAATACTGAAATTTCATATGTATTGAAACTTGTGTCATACATTCAAATTACACATTTGCTGCAATTTAAATTTTAACTTTGAATATAATATCAAATAACACATGAGTTAAATTATAATCAAGTACATTAGTACTTCAGTACTTTAAGCAATTGCTTTAGTATGTTAGTCAACATCAAAATGAGTGTACTTCTAAAAGATTATTAGGACCCACTTTATATTGTGTCTTCAACTATTATGCACTTACATTTATTTAAATTATGTGTATTTAAACATGTATTTAAATTAATCATCTGATACAATTGACTTATTATTTTTACATTATACTTATGCTTATACTTACAAAATACCTTCCACTAATTGCATCTGTAATTAATTTCTGTAGTTACATCTATAATTACAGTTGACCCTAAACCTAACCATTGCATCAAAACCCACCCCTAAATTTACCTGTATCCCACCTCAAAAGCAGAAAAAGTGATTTGAAGATTTAAGATTAAGACTTTTTCACAGTGGATCCCTTATTCAACACCCCACTCAGGTTGATGTCAAAGGGTTATTTTCCCCCCACAATATCTGTGTAATGAATGCAGACTGACCTTGATTGAGAGCTAAAGCTGGCGCATAAACTACCACACCGGTGTACAGAATCTAAAGAGGTAAAATCAGAATAATCAGCATGAAAGCTGATCAAAAACCAAACAATATGTGTTTGAACATTCAATGCCACTCACCGTCTGAATGATATAAATGAAAGTGGCTGCAAATCGAACAAGCTTACAAAAACGCAACTCCAAATACTGTGAGAAAAACAAATCAGAACAAATCTGTATCATGCTGGAGGGCCCCAACCTGCATAACCACAGCTGACACGGCCTATGGGATTTATTACTAAAGTCATGACCTCCAAAAAGCCCAGCAACATCTGGCCAACTTCATCCTACCTCAATACTTCATTTCTGTCCACTGGAGTAGATATGTGTTATATTGATGATTTTGATATGGTAATATTTGTATAATACAATAATTTAGTGAAACCTGCTTTGATGACAAAGCAAATCTGAAATATACGTATCCGTACCTCGTATGTACTGGTGATGCCTGATCTGTAGAAGACAGGCAGGAAGAGCTCAGCGGTAAAAAACACCACGAACGTGTAGGCGACCCCAAAGATGACATACGAGGCCCCGTATCTGTACACATCTGACGGGGCCCCGATCACTGTGACCGCAGACATGAAGCTGGCGGTGAGAGAAAGGGCCACCGGCCCGCAGGACATCTGACGGCCCCCAACCAGAAACTCTTTAGATGAGGCTTTCTTTCGCCCAGCAACATCTGGCCAACATCCTACCTCAATACTTCATTTCTGTCCACTGGAGTAGATATGTGTTATATTGATGATTTTGATATGGTAATATTTGTATAATACAATAATTTAGTGAAACCTGCTTTGATGACAAAGCAAATCTGAAATATACGTATCCGTACCTCGTATGTACTGGTGATGCCTGATCTGTAGGAGACAGGCAGGAAGAGCTCAGCGGTAAAAAACACCACGAACGTGTAGGCGACCCCAAAGATGACATACGAGGCCCCGTATCTGTACACATCTGACGGGGCCCCGATCACTGTGACCGCAGACATGAAGCTGGCGGTGAGAGAAAGGGCCACCGGCCCGCAGGACATCTGACGGCCCCCAACCAGAAACTCTTTAGATGAGGCTTTCTTTCTCTCTTTGATGGCGAAGAAAACCCCGATACCAGAGGAGACCACGAACAGGAAGGCGAACACCACATAGTCCCCAACCTGGAAGGTCCCCACTGTGTGACTTTTGTCCTCCATGCTTTAGGCTGAATCTGATCAAACTGCTAGTGTGGCTCCAGTTTCTCTAGTTCAGACACCTCACATGTTAATCATGTTAATCATTGAGGTTTTAACAGGTTAAAAATGCTTATGAGTCAAGACATGGGACTAGGGGTCATATTAGTCATTATATCACTCAAGATTGTCCTCATGAATTTCCACTCAGGGATCTATCTATCTATCTATCTATCTATCTATCTATCTATCTATATCTGTCTGTCTGTCTATCTATCTATCTATCTATCTGTCTGTCTGTCTGTCTGTCTGTCTATCTATCTATATCTGTCTGTCTGTCTGTCTGACTGTCTCTATCTATCTATCTATCTATCTATCTGTCTGTCTGTCTGTCTGTCTATCTATCTATATCTGTCTGTCTGTCTGTCTGTCTATCTATCTATATCTGTCTGTCTGTCTGTCTGTCT